AAGCTCCAATGCAGGCACCATGAAGAGTCCGGTGACAAAAGCCTTTACAGACAACCGACTTAGTTTTACTGTCAGTAGCTGTACAATTAACCATATTGCATTTAAAGGACATTGTTACGTTATATTAAAACTCGTTAATAAAATATTGAAAAAAAAAAAAAAATGAAGTGTCACTTAGACTGGTGTCACTGTATTATTTACTAATAAGTGTATAATTTAATTATTACAAGACGCGATTACAGTTACAATATTACTATTACAAATTAATAACGAGTATGATTCACAAAAAACAAAAAGAAAAGCACGAAAATAAAAAGCAAAATAAATTAAATGAAAAGAAAATTAAAAGTAAAAGCGAACACGTCTATACTGTATGAATGATGAATTTAAAATGATGAATTTTACGCATCTATAATCCATATTGCAGTTTGACGAATGATGGCCAAATCGCTGGCGACGTGTGCACTGCATAATATTGGGCTTATTAATACGTTCCCAGTGGATTATCAGATGGTCAATTGCTTTTATTTTCATAATGTCGCTTAGTGAACTTCGTGGTGCGGCTTGAACAATGAAAAATGGCAATATTTTACCTTGTGATGTTGAATGCTTTGTGGTAAGTCTTGTAACTTTTTCAAATTTTATATTTTCATTTTGATGTTTTTTTAGACTCTCTAGCACCTCATCACACGAATGAGAGCTGTTCAGTACTTTCAGAACCAGAAACAACCTTTTTTCTGCTTTTGGTGTCAATGTATAGTAATTTATACCAGATTTTTCTAAAACACCACGAGCTTTTTTGAAGTCATCTATGTAAATATGTAAATAGCACGTTATTATTTTGGTTGATTTGTTTGATCAGAAAGTCTTTTATTTTTAGGTCACTGCTAAGTTGTTGTTTCAACAATTTAACATCTGTCTTACCGAAATTGATAGGAGGCATTCTTTTGCTGCTGCTGGAGTTTTTGGTACCGCTGGGAGTTTTCTTCATAAGTATTTCATCTTCAGCGTTAGTTTTTTGGTTGGTAATTTCGTTTTTTTCTTTTATTTCTTTTGATTTTTTTTCTTTTGTTTTTTTAGCAAGTTCCTGTATTTTGATTTCCAATTCAAGATCATCATTTTGAAGATCATTATTCTCGGAACGATTTGGCTGTGCACTATCTACCTGTGGATCATCGGATTCTTCCGTTATATCCATTAAGGCACTATAAAAATTTTCTGAGACACGTGGTTTATTTGATGACGTGTTTTGTTTTTCAATTTGAGCTCTCAACTTTTGGTTATCCTTTGTAAGCTTGGCTAGTTGTCTTTTCAATGCAGTAATTTCATCATTATTTCTGGATTTCGTCATTACACTTCGTTTCAATTCAGTGCAGGTAATGTTTTTATTATTGGTGAGGCCAGCAATAATTGAGTTTATATTTTGTTTTAGATTAGGATCTATAGATGACTCCTCTTCATCACCCATGATCGCAATCCTTGCAGGATGCAATCAACCCAACTACCGTGTTGTGTTTAAAGAGATATTTTTTATTTTATTCTTAATTAACACGAGAGGATAAACTACATTTAATTTTAAGTGTTATTTTATAAAATAAAATATTTGAATTTTTGTTTTTTAATTTTAATTACTCTGACTAAGTCAACCTTTTCCATTTAAAGCTCAAACAGAACTCTCTATGTATGAGATGTATCCATATAGCCTGGTTGTAAACTGATTTTTTTATTCTTAAAGTTTTATATCAAAATATTTTGATCCATACGCCACTTTCTGACTTAAGACCACTTTCATAGGTTTTCGAAGATGATCTTTCAGTATAAGTGATCAGTTTGCCGCTATCTCATTTAGTTTCGTAGATACACCGATGTCATTTTGATCCACCTCAAATTCGATTTGGGACGTACTTTGATGCATATCCAAAATCGTAGGCGTATGAATCAAATTTTCATATATATTTTTCAAAAAACTTTTGAGTGCTATAATTACCCATCTCATACAAAAAAAAATTTTTGTACGACATGGATCTTTTTGAGTTTATTTATCCTCTTAATATTTAACACTGTTTTAAACATTTTTTGAACAGGTATAATTGACTATTATACGCCAGTATAAGCCTTTCGCTGACAAATTCAAAACATTCATAGCCTTCGTTAAAATATACTTTTCAAAACGCCTGAGCATTGCCTTACTTTAATGTTCGAATCTTTTAAAAATAAATAAAAATGTTTCAGTCAACCTTTACAGATATATTTTGTAAATATATCTTGACAATTGGATTATAAAATCAAATCCCAGCGAACTAGCTGAAGAAAATTTTTGAGATATGCATAAACTAGAATTTGATACTCGTTTTACAACAATCTGATTCATTCGTTTTACAACAAACGTTTTCAACTAATATTGAATTTAATTTTCTTTGAAGGTAAAGAACAGCATTTAATTTACTAAAAACCATAAACTTTGTTTTACTAATTAATCGTTTTGCTAAAAAACATTTATAAAATTTTCCAGTTATTTTTGTGCACATCCATAAGTTCATTCACTAATTATACATTATAGATTCACATTATACACCTATGTTTTCGTTGTTGTGCTTGTGAATGATTCTAACCTACAAAAAATGAAGTTTTTGGTTATTTTAGTTTTATTCAGTATTAAAATGTTGAAATTTTGAAATATGGTAAAAGCTTAGGCCTCCAATTTAAGATTTCAGTTGAGTTCCATACTATTTGGCAATAATTACCAGCAACCATCTGTTAAAGTGAATATAGCTAAGGAATTTAGGATTTTTACCATTATTTTATTTACAACGATGACTTTATATTCTATTATGCTGAATGGTTCTAAGCTACAATTATTTTGTATTATGCAGAATGCACCATTCAGCATAATACAAAATAATCATCATATAGCCACCATATTTATAACAAAACGATTCGGTGTTAATATAAATGGCTCGACTTCACAATTTTTACAATAGTATATATATATATATATATATATATATAGATATATATATATGGAGATGTTTAATGATATGACGCGCCATAAAACAGTGTTAGAAAATAAATAACGATCTTAGTTTATTTAAATTAACGCTGTAATTTAAATTAACGATGTAAGTAAGTTGGAGCTCAAAAGAAAACTGAAAAGGAAAAAGCATAATTCTTCATCACATAAAATCAATTCCGATAGTCAATTTTCGTTACTCTAAATGTATGAATTACGAAATCCCAGATTTTTACAATTTTTTTAGATATTATATCAACTTTTACCACATAAGAAATTACCTTTCATTTTGACTCGTAGTTCTAGATAAAATAGAAACTCATTAAATGTAATGTTCTTTGAGCTGTTTCCCTTCTACATGTAAAAATAATGTACCAAATTTTATGGAGTCAGGACATTCTGAAAAGCGATAGTGTTCATTCACATACAACAGAAAGCGTCAACTAATTAAAATGATGTTTAGTTATTATATTTCAAGGCAAATGAGCAAAATCTTTTATCGACTTGAGTGAAGTCGACTTCATGTGAGGTAACGTTTATATAGACCAGACAAGTCAAACTCATTTATCATCACGGGCCATTTTATGGTTTCCGCACATTGCTTAGGGCTGCAAAATAAAAAACTTAAACTACTACATTATACTCAATTTTTGATTTTTATTGTCAACATAAAAAAATTTAAAACATACAAATAATACAGTCATACAAAAAAATTTCATGTATAGTAAGCGCATAACCGACCTCAATATGTATTATCTAGTTAAGTGAAAATATTACTAAAGATTATAAAAATATCTTTTATAATCTTTTATTCCAATTTTTAGGCATACTTAGCTTTTAATTAGCATACTTAGAAAAATGTAAATTTGGCTCTTAGTAGAGTTTCACTTTGTGCCATCCGGATTCCCTGAAAAGCTCGCCAGTTAATTTCGAGAGCTGAAGTATCAAGTTTCAAGAAATTCCATCAATCCGTTTCGTAGATATGATCAAAAATGTAAAATCGGTCCTCGTTTGGTTTCCGCGCTCCGATTGTTCCAAAAAATTTATATGTTCATTTTTTTATCACTCTAAATTTAAATATTAAATTTCAAGGAAATTGGTTGATTATTTCTTTTATATGGGCGAGAATGTAAAATTGCCCCGCAAAAAAATCTCAAGTCCTACAAGTCTGAAGGCCTAATACATCTCAAAAGTTAATCAATCCGTGACATACTTAAAACAAACTCACATATAAAATTTCATATAAATCAACCGAAACCGAACTTGAAATACACGCGTGCACAGACAGAAAGACAAACCGACTCTCTAAAAATAGTTTTTTTACACTTTCTTACTATGGAGAAGTGCGTTTCCACCGAAAACTCGATATGCGAAATTTGTTGAAATCACACAACCTCTCTTATGGTATGCAATGCGATCGGTAAAAATGTAAAATCAGTTTTTTAAAGAAATTTATTTTTTCTCTTACTAAATCTTCGAAATTTCGTTGAATTTAATTCAGTTAGCTTTTTTATTTTTTATTGATTGAACATGTTGATCTGTTAATCTTGATCTTTCAGTCGTTTTATTATTTTTTAATATCGAAAACAATTGTTCACACAAATATGTGCTTCCGAACATGGCAAAAACACGCTTAATTGATTCATAGGTAAATAATTATAAAATTTAGTAACTTCCACTTCTTTAGATTTTTGTTTTAATACAGAATCGCACAGCACTTCGATTTCAATTGTAAATTTGAATCTAGTGTTTTAATATCAACAGAAAATGGAAAGGTTAAATTCATTTTGATATCTATTTAAATCTAAAAATCTTCTTTCAAATTCGGTTTTAAATAATTTATTCTAATTAGAATATTCGGAAAAACCAGTTCAAATATATAAGTATTTGATTTACAAAACAGTTGCTTTCCACTTTTTTTTTTGATTTTTGAGTTTGGAAAATAAATCAAAAATAAATTCAAAATATGTATATATGGAATTCAAATGGGAGGGGTGTTGGAAATTATTTGTGTGAAGAAAATTGATCAATATTTCCAGCTCTACTGATTCTACATATTTTTTTAAATTTAAATTTCAAAAAAATCAATTGGCAAATTCCATCTGCAAGATGCCTTTAAAAAAATTGCAATTTTTAGTGCAGACTTCTTGTCTTCCAAATGGAAGGGTACTGAATTATGGAGTAAAGTTTTTGAATAAGAAATTGAATTTAAAAAGAAATTGAAAGAAAAGAAAAATAAAAAAAATTGATGTGGTCTGCACATAACCAACCGCAATGTATATCGTCTAGATTAGAAAAGGTATTCCAAAAGATTATGAAAATGCGTTTTAAACACTTCTTTACAGTTTTAAGGACATTTATAATCTCTTAGTTAGAAAAATGTGAATTTGGTTCTTAGTAGAGTTTCATTTTGTGCCGTTCGACTTATAAGAAAAGCTCATTAGTAACTTCTGGTAATGTCTTTATATCTAACAAGTCCCAATGCTAAGAGAGAAACTTGAAAGCACGAACTTATTTTACACTGCCAGCACCATTTTATAAATAGATTACTCTTGTTTACCTGCTATTAAAATATGAAAGAAGAGCAAAAATTAATTTACAAGCACTCAATATAACATGTTTCAACCAAATTTTAAATAATTATGTACAAAAAAAAGTTGATTGGAAGTAGGTACATACATATTTATTTTTAATAACTTAAAAAGTAATAGGAATTATTTGAAACAATTCTATAAGTATCTTTTAATTAACCGAAATGAGATAGTAGCTAAGATTGTTAGTGTATGACATTATATTACTTTACCGACACTACTCAACTTATCTTATTGAGAAATACAAAATATAAATGAAAAAATAATACACCCTTCCTTATTAACATTTAAAACCATACTGAAATATGAATTTGAAATTTTTTTTTTAATTTTTTCTTTCCTCCTACCTTCCTTTCTTTTTCGTACAATAGAATTTAAATGGGAAGCTTTTTAAAAAATATGTATAATATCCTGAGATTTTTTAAAATATTAAACTCTTTTTTATGTAAAAAAAAAAAAAAAATAATAAGACATATGACACGATCAGTGGCATTTAAAGAAAAAAACAGCAACGAAGCCAAAAATTCGTAATATCTCGCAAAAAATATTGAGTATTGGGACTTGTTAAATGTAAAGACATTACTTCTGTAACAATCAGAACCCAAATATTAAATTTTAAAAAATTCCATCAATTCGTTCCGTATATATTGTAAAATATGTAAAAACAGCCCGAAGATCAGTTTCCGAACACGGGTCTTCCCTTAAAATTTATAGATTCATTGTTATAATATTAATTTTCAATGAAATCAGTTGATTATTTCTCTTTATGTACGCAAAAATGTATATTTGACCCATATTAAACGTCCAGTTGCTAGGACGTTTAATATGAGCCAAATATACAAAGTTAGGAGGGTTCGCGTCTGGTTAAATGAAGCTTATATATGAAATTTCAAGTAAATAGGTTGAAGAGTTTCTTCAAAATGATCAAAAATGTAAAACAGGCCCATTAAGAGGTCCAGTTCCCGAGGCCTGATATGTTTTAAAAACTGATCAATCTGTGCCATAGTCAAAATAAACTTTCATATAAAATTTTCATATAAAATCTAAATCGGTTCAGCTAATCTTGACATACACCCGTGCACACACAGGCAGACAGACCAACAGTCCGACGGACTGACAGTTTTTTAAATGTAGTTTATTTACACTTTGCTACTATGGAGAAGCTTTCCCACCAATTATGTTTTCGAAATATAATTCAATCGAAATACTTCGAAAACATAAAACATTAAGAATTGTTTTTGTAATTTTTTCCGATTGCAAAATTTTGGAAAATAATTTCTGTTGGGTGGCCTGATATATTAGGCATAAGATAGACCTACATAACACTATATCAATAATAGTTGTAAGAGTTACCATATTCAAGTAATAGCTGCTCAAAAACAAAATTTTGAATTGAAAAACTGAATATTTTCTAAAAACGCCAAATATCTAACAAATGCCCTTTATTTTCTTGATGCTCAACTACTTATTTTTATAGTTTTCATAGCACGCGTGTTCTTTATTCATAGCACGTAGTATAATAGCTTTATACATTCCGAAGATGGATACATTTTGTTTTTACCGAGTAGGAGCACTGGCCAACCTATTTGATATTTTTATGCCCGATGGCTGTGTGCTTTTTACAAAGAAGATTGTAGACTGAGATAATTGTTAATAAAATGAATACTGATATTTATTCATGTTTACATATACCTTTCTACCGCCGATTTTAACCATTCCGTTCCATTTTCAATAACATTGAACGAGTACCTACTTCTAACGCGAAATAAAATATTGAATTGTTACAATAACCAAATGGCCTTTAAATTAACCGTTATTTAAACGAGTTCAAAGTTTTGACATCGGTTTTCTTAAAGAAGACAACAAGTTATGGAAACCTGAAATTTTAGCAACTTTTGAAATCTACTAAATTTATTTCGTTAGAAGAAAAAGTTTTTCGACCTTCAATATATTTTTCTATATTGAAAATAATCAAATAGCTAGTAAATCGTTTTCTTGAAAAAAGTATATGTATGTGTTATATATATATAAAATCTGACATATATATCTTAAAACGGGATATATTTAATAAAAAACTACTTACCTCTAATTTCAATTAGAAAAATTAATAACAATGTGAGCAAAATAGTGCCCATTTCCTCTTGATTTCTAGGGCGTTCGTAATTCGCCTTCAGATGTTTCTTTTCTTTGTATTGTATTCCAAATAAAAATATTTTTGTCTTTTCTTTAATATGTTTACTTGTTCTTTTTTTTTATTCCCTTTGTTTCCTTCTTTATATTGAAATATTTCACTTTTTTTTATTTAATTAAAATATTATTTTTCCTTACTTTTGTAACTTTAAGCCAACTTTAATTTGAATTTTCCTTTTTTTATTTATTTGAATTCTTTAACATTTATTTCTTAAATATATTATGTAAATTAAAAAAATATAAAAAGCACTTTTTAGTATATAAGATAATACATTATAATATATTATGTATTTTTTTAAATATATAATATATTACAATATGTTATAATATTATATAAATACATAAAAATAAACATATGTATTAAGTTTTTAAAATAAAACTTTTGGACTTTTTCTGTTTTTAAAATAAAACTTTTGGACTACTTTTGGACTGCATAATCAACAGTTAAAATTCAATATTATTTTGATTGATATCACACATAGCAAAAGCGGGAATTTCCACTTTTGCTGTGTGTGAATTATAAATTCCTTTTTTCTCTTTCTGCTATGCTTTTTCTTACATTTACTTCCAATTGATCAATAATAATTACTAGCTAAAATCATTAGCTGATACATTTTTGCATGTTTTTATAAAAAAATTAAAAAAGAAAACTAGTTATATTTCAAATAATTTTTTCACTTATAAACATATGAAAAAATATTCTTTTTATCTATTCAAATTACTTTTTAAAAAGTTTTGTTATCCTTATTTTCTACTCCACATTTTATGCTTTTTTATTATCTTATAAGTTCTACTATGTTATATTATGTTATGTACATGTATATATTATTTTAAACTTGTTTTTTTCAATGCTATTTTAAGAGAGAGAGTTAAATCTGGAGATTTAAAAAGGATTTCTTTCTATTTCTTTTGGTTGTAATTTCTTTTGACCTTTGACCTTTAAATCTTATTTTATTCTTACGTGTTGGTGAATGAATATGCCCATTATTGCTAACGCACTTTGTTTTTTGTTTTCTTTTTACATTTGAATGTATTTTCAAAGCATTTAAAAATTTTTTCGTGCAATTGTTCACCTTAATCTTAAAATATTGTGAAAAAATTTATGAAAAAAATTAAAATTTTTTTTTCTGTATTCAATAAATTGAAAAAAAAACAAAAAACACATTTTCCACCTTCTCTTGGGGAAAAACTAAAATTCTGATATGGAAAATACAACTTTTTTTGTGATATCTTTAGTTCAACTGTTCATTTACTGTTTACTACTTTTTGTACTTGTAATTCTTTTGGAAACAAATTGACGGCAAAAAATCTTTATTTCCGTGCTTTTGTACTTTCATAATATATTGATAAACACTGGAAATGAGATGTACACAACGCAAACGTTCTGCAAGATATGCATTAATTTTATTATTTATCTTTTCTCCTCGTAATATAATTTTAACATTATAGGAATGTTTTTATTGCATTTTATCATATAGAAAGCAGAAAAATAACAAAAAAATATTTTAAAATTTATAACAGAACACATTAATTTTACTCCTGATTATAATTTTTAAAAATATCAAACTTTAATGTTTCTTATAGTAGACCACTTCCATCAGTGTATTTGCGCAGTGTTTTCAATTTTCATCACATTTTAAAATTTCAAATATAATCTTGAATTAAATTATTTGAAACATTTTTATATTGATAATAAAATGAGCATCCGATACTGATCTGATATTTTATTCATTGACATTTTTTACTGAAAACTAATAATTTTATGCCGCTTTTTGATAATGAACAAAGTATAAATTTATGATGTTTTTGAGAATACAGGTCAAAAGATTTTTGAAAATGCTCATGTAATGGTTAATAGTTTATATTTTTATTAATTGCATGTGTATTTATACTTATTATTACGTATTTTTATAACTTGCTGAAATATTCTTACGACTATACCTGTTTTAATTAAAAACTGCTTTCTGTTTGTTACATGTTTGTCTTTGGGGTTTTATCTTTTACAAATTTATCTTTTCTAAATTATTTACACACTTGCTTCATCTAACTTTTCTGCTTCGACCTATCTTTTAAATTTCATTGGTTTTAAATTTTGTGGCCAGAAAACTTACATTTCATCAAATGTTCTATCTTTATATTTCCAACTAACTACATCTTTTATAAGATCCTTGTCAATAAATGGTAGAATTCTGGAACAAAAAGAAAATTTAAATATGAACATGGAAAGAAAAAATAAGTAATAAATGAGCGTTATAATAAAATCATGATGCATAAATTTTTCTAATTTAAATATACTAAAAAGAAATGTCTTCATATAGGGTAAAAAATACAAAATTGCTAACACAGCAGATTTAGGTGTGCTTAATATTAGTCCACATAAAAATTTAATTAATGGTCTGCTGGAGTCAATGGAAAATTTAATTAATTGTCTGTAATACTTATGCTGACAATGCAAGTAGAGCGATCGCAAATTTAATCAAAAATTTATAAAATTATGATCATTACTATTTCACACCCCAAGAAGAGAAAACCAATAAAATTTTGTTATTAAAATTTAAAATAGTGTTTCTTGTTAAAATTCGATAAAATTTTAAATTCTTTTATTAATCTTCCAGGTTAATAATCGGCTGGGCTGGACGCCATAGAATATATATTTACATAATAATAAAAGTTTGAAAAAATTTCTACAAACTATTTTAAACTTCTGTTGAAAGTAAATCAGACAAATTATTACATTGCAAAGGAAAATAATACTTTCAAATAAAAGTGCAAATAGAAAAGGAATTAAGAACAAAACTAAATATGAAGATTATCATTTTTACAATGAGGTTTGTTATGTGAGGGCACAAAATTTTGGATGTCGAATTTTAGATGGGAACGCACTTCCCATAATAGGGAAACGTAAATACACCACTTTTAGAGAGATGTCAGTCTGTCGCTCTCTGTGTGCACGCGTGTATCTCAAAGTCGGCTGAACCGATTTTAAAGAAATTTTATTTGTGAGAGTACTTTGGCTATTGCACGGATTGATCATCTCTTAGGATATATCAGACCTCGGTAACTGGACCTTTTTGCGAGCTAATTTTACATTTTTCCGGATAGAAAACGAAATAATCAACCAATTTTCTTGAAATTTAATATTTAAATTCGAGTTATAAGACCATGAATTTGCAAATTTTTAAAAAGATCATGGCTTTGAAACCAAATTGAGGCCGATTTCACATTTTGAACCATATCTGCGGAACGGATTGATGTAATTTCTTGAAATTTTATATTTGAGTTCTGGTTGTTACTGACTTTTTAGGGGACTCAGTGGCATAAAGAGAAATTCTACTAATAGCCAAGTTTACACTTTTCTAGGTATGTTAGCTAAAAGCTTGCTAACTTCCTTGGAATTGAAATGATGTATTCAAAATGCATTTTCATAATCTTCTGTAACACTTTCACTAAACTAGACAATATACATTGTGGTCGGTTATGTGCTGACCACATCAGATTTTTTAAATTTTTAATGTCTTTCGATACTTGATCTTTCCATATATACATAATATAGCAAAAGATTGGGTATCGAAATTTTTGCAATTTATCTAAAGTGAATTATCCAATTGAAAATTTAAAGTTCCAATTTTGTTTCTAAATAATGCGAAATTATAACATCAGAACAATTAAGTATAATACGTACTTCAATGTTTAAAAAAGTACAATATATGAATACCTGAAACACTTTGATTATTTATATATTATATAATCTAGATGGCAAATTATTGGCACGCATGCCAAACTTGACACGTTTCGAATTTTCTATGGTACGCGTGGAATTAAACATTTTCAGAAAGAATTATTTTAGTTTGTTTATCACTTGCATTTTTTTTAATAAAAGCCTAAACTTTTTACAATAATGCAACTGTTGGTGTGGTAATACAGTGTATTTCAAGCTTCGTACTAAATTCAGTTATGTTTTTTCTTTTTGTCGTCTCCAGTACATGTAAAGCTACCATACAACTCAAAGAGGTTTTTTTAAATATTTCAAAAACAATTATACTCTTCATATGTTCTGAAAATTTTAATGGAATGGCTGCACTGACTTGACAGGTTTAGGTAGCTGCCACACAACTCCTAAAGCTAATTTTGAATATTTGGAAAAATGGATTTTTGAATAAAGTTGGGTTCATGAAATTTGGCAGTTGTGTGTCCAATTTTAGGTCAGACATATTCATGCAGTTTCTACAGTATGGTTTGTCAAGTTCGAATACTGGGTATACAACAATGAGAGCTAATTCTAGATAATTCAAAAACAAATTTTTAAACTCAGATCGTCAAAATGCAGGGTATTATTCTGTCGGTTTATACTGACTAAAACGTTTTTACTTTTTTATACCCTGCACTTCGTGAAGGGTATATTAACTTTGGTATGGAGTTTGTAACTACTTGAAGGAGTCATCTGCGGTATGGACATATATATATATTCTTCGTCCGTCCGTCCGTCCGTCCGTCCGTCCGTCCGATCGCACGATAACTCAAAAACGAATAATGCAATCGACACCAAACTTTCACAAGTTGCTTCTTTTGTGCCAAGGACGAACCCTATTGTTATTGGACCAATTCGGACAACGGGTTCGGGTAGCTGCCATACAACTCAAAGAGTTTATTTTAATTATTTCAAAAACTAATAAAGCTATAAATATGAAATTTTGTATACATGTGTCCAATTATATTCTACACATGCTCTAAAAATGATAATGGGATAGCTGCACCGGTTCGGGTGGCTGCCATACAACTCCAACAGCAAATTTTTTATATTCGGCAAAATAATAAAGTCAGATTCATGAAACTTTTCAGTCATGTGTCCAATTATAGGTAAAAGATATTTCTGAAGTTTTCGTGGAATTGCTTGACAGGCTCCCATACAAGTCCAAAAGCTTATTTTAAATATTTGGAAAAATAATAAAGTCAGATTCATGAAACTTGGTAGTTGTGTGTTCAGTTATAGGTCAGACATATCCGTGAAGTTTCTATAGAATGGTTTCACAGGTTTGAGTAATTGATATACAACAATGAAAGGTGCAGGGTATAATTCAATCGGTTCATACCGACTGAAACGCTTTTACTTGTTATTACTTACATTTTGTAAAATTGAACTGATATCATGTTCGTATTTAAAAAAATTATTCGAAACTTACATACATATGTATGTACATTATATAGCTAATTTTTTGAAATTGTTATACAAAGTTATTTTTTTTCCTTTAATTCTTTTATAAAAACCTATCTGCACGTTTGCATAACAAAATATATAATTTTTAAAAATTAGGATAAATAATTACATTGAAGGAAAAATTAGTTAGCAATCCATTACATTAAGAAAACAAAAAAGTATATACATATATATGTTTGTATCGCAAGTCGCATCTAGTATGTTGTATCTTGAATTACGACATAATAGAATGATTGGTTTATTTCTGTTTGCTATTGGCTAGGTGCACTTGTATAAATGTCAGCTTTTTTTTATGCTAACGTTTTTTTGCTGATGTATGTAAAGATACAACAAGAAAAAACCAATTTACCTCGTTCAGTTACAATAAAACGTAATGAACAAAATTTGAAGTACAGCAGAATGCCCAGATTGGGCTACTTGTCGAATTAAGCTCACTTTTCCAAAAATTCGCTTCAAGAATTTAAAAAAAGTAGTTCGCGACAAATTGGGCTTAAAGTCGGGCAAGCACGTTTCATATTAAATAAAAAATGACTGAAATTAAAGTGTGTAAATAAAATCAGCAGTCTTACTATTTAGGCTCTTCTAAAATTCATTATTTTCAGCATTACCAACAACTCTACTCAATTTTGCTTAAAAATTCTATATTATTGAGAAAGTTTGAAGTGTTTTTGGAACTAAATATCGGGCCTTAATAAAATTTAACTACTAATTGTATGTAGAGAATAATCATAAATACACATGTACATTTTTACATGGATATTTGAGCTATTGTATCAGGAATTTGGCTACTATATTTTTTTATTTATTTAGTTTCAAATTTATCTCAAAAAGAGCCTCAGCCGTACAGAGTGTTATTATTTATTTATATAGTATGTTGTTTTTTCTTTTAACCATTATAAATTTACATATACATACAAAAGGCTTTAGCAATAAACGAGTATAATCAAAAAATGTTCTTGAAATGAGTTTTGGTTCAAACTAATTTGTTTATATTCCTTTTTAATGTATTTGTGTTTGCATATCTGAGCCATTCGGGAATATTGTTAAATTCCCGAACAGCATTGTTGAAAACGTTACTTGACCCAGTTCTGCCAGTTCTTACGTCGTTTGCTGTTCTTGTGTTGTGATAATATATGATTACTCCTTGTGTGAAGCTAATATTTCATGATATATTTCCGTGTTTTATTTTATGTATGTGTTGAATTTGCTTTGCTTTTAGCCGTTGTCTTATATTTGAAATGTTATAATTTGCGTATATGTTATTCGTTGGTGTTCTTATTTCAAGTCCATATAGGTTTTTTATGGCTTTATTTTGCAATTTTTGGATTTTTTTCAAATTTTTATTGCTCTTATTTCCCCAGATTATTATGGCATATGCTATATAACCATGAAATAAACTATAGTATAGTGCTCTTTTTACCGACCGTATTGTGTAAACAATAGGTAGGTTATGTGATGGCAACAAATTTTGCATATCGAGTTTTCGGTGGGAACGTACTTCTCCATAGTAGGGAAGTGTAAATAAACTATTTTTAGCAACCTGTCGGTCTGTCGGTCTGTCGGTCTGTCGGTCTGTCGGTCTGTCGGTCTGTCGGTCTGTGTGTGCACGCGTGTATCTCAAGTTCGGTTGAACCGATTTTGATGAAATTTTATATGTAAGTTTGTTTCCACCATGGCACGGATCGATCAACTTTTGGTATATATCAGGCCTCGGGAACTGCACTTTTTAGCGGGCCTGTTTTACATTTTTGAACATTTTGAAGAAAGTATTCAACCGATTTACTTGAAATTTTATATATAAGCTCAGCTCGACCATCCGCAAAAATTCGTATGTTTTGGAAGAAATCAGGCATCGGCAACTAGACGTTTACTACGGGCCAAATATACAGTTTTGTGTATATAAAGAGAAATAATCAACCGATTTCATTGAAATTTAATATATGAACTCCCCGTATTAAAACAATGAACATGTAA